GAGGCCTCTGCTCCTCTCAGTTCTGTGCACAGCCACAAGCCTGAGACACGCTCCCCACATTCCCCTCTTGTTCCTCCCCAGGGACCTGTGGAGTGGGGAAATCTCCCTGGGTACCTATGTCAGCTCACCAATTACTCACTAGCTCATGCAGCTACTGAAATGAGATAGGCATCCACCCTCACACACCAAATAAAAACGAGGCTAAGATAAATAAGGTAACTCACTCTCAGGGCGAGAGCTGGTCATGCACGTTTCACTAAAGCAACAGAGTTAGATTTGGTGAGAAGCACGTAAATGAAAGAGAATCTACACCAGCACGCCTCCTTTATGGAGGCAGACAGTGGAGAGACTGTGGGGAGCTCCTGTTTTGGGTGCACCAAAAAAACTGTTACGCAATGGAGATGAAAGAGGAACCCCAGCCATTCCCAGTGTGTGTCTGAGAGCAGCAGGAGGAAAGAGGCATAGTGAGAAACGCTGTGCAAACGCACACTGCAGCGCTTCCTTCCTGCTCACAGCTGTACCTCACTAGGTCTGCAGTCACTTCCTTTCACCTTGGTTAAAGACAAGACACTGCCTCCCAGAATTCCGAACCATTTGAAGAAATTCTTCCCAATACTTCAGTGACGCGGGCACTTTTCTGCAACACCCCATATAGGCCCTTCAGCTCCTTGTAAAGTAGATCATGAAAGCCACGTTCTTCTTCAGTATAAAATAATCTTCTAATCCTCGCCACCAACCAATTAATAACAGGACAGAAAAAAAAAACAACCAAAAAGCTACTTTCAAAGGGAGCTCTCTGGAAATTCTAAGACAGAGAAACCCTCTGAAACAGGAAATCTACTGTCTCAAAGAGAGTGCTGCGCAACTTTGCTCTCTCTCCATTAGCTGGCCAGTGGAGCAATAAAGTGACATGAGTTTCCAAAGTAAAGTTTGCTTTGGTGCCTAATCAGGCTTTACTCCACCTGAACTCCTGCTGACTTCAATGAGAGGTTAGATGGAGTGAAAAGTGAATGAGGACTTGAAGGTTTGGCCCTTTATGTGCCAAGACTTAAGTTGTAAACTTATTTAAAGACACAAGAATCTCTGCAGTTGAACTCAGTGCCACTTTTGAACACAAACCTGTAGAAAACTTGTTTTTCTTTGTGCAAATCTCACATGTTAACATGATTAAATCTGTTGGGCAGGTGTCTTCTCATGTCCTTGTTTGCTTTGGCACACAAGCTGCCTCTCTCACCTCTCCAAATTCATGAAAATTTAATGTTAAAGCCTGCCTTTTGTTACATGAGTGTGCCAGGGAGCCCCTCTCCCTTCCCACACCAAGGCTTGCTCATGTCACAGTTGGACTGAAGTCCAGCCTGGTGCTGACAGGTGCCCAGGCTGGAGAGGGCAAGTGTGAGTACTCATCTTCCACAGGCAGGCAAGCGTGGCATGGGATCCACCACCAGCCCCTTACTGCACAATCCCTCTTGCTGCTTCTTGAGCTGTTTCTTGAATTGCCAGTTTTCCAGCTTCCCTGATGAATCTCCCTACTCCTGAAATCATCTGACTGATCATCCCAGCTTCCATGAAAATTAGTTTTTCAGCTGTCCAGATGAGATATACAAAGGAATGAGAACATAACCCTTTACAGCTCAAAATTACACATTTGATATAATCTCCAAGCCATCACTGTAATGCTATTTGCAAGGGTTTTGGGACCCAGATGTAGTGCTCAGGGTGCTGTTTGCTCCCTGCCATTGGTACGGCAAAAATGTGCACCTGCTTTTTTAGATCAATACAAGCAAGTTCAGTTTTAGAAACTGTTCAAAGGGGCTAAGATTCAGAAGCATGTAACAAGCACTAGTGAAGACATTTTTTATTAGCCTGGAAAAATGTGTCTAGCAAGAACAGTTGGCAGGGTGAAGACCTTCTAAGACACAATATGCATATTTAGGTATCAAGTGGCACATGCAGCTCTCCCAGCACTCCTTCCCCAAATGCAGAGACAACCCAGGTGTTATCTGCTCACATTTTACAGCAATTCAGCTGAGCCACAGCAAACTGATGGCATCCTGTTGTGCAAGTCTAGATGCTTTTTGGCCTTTGCAAATTGCTTTTTGTTTAGCAGATTAGTCCTGAACATTCAAATCTTGCACCTCATTTTTTGTCTAATGTCTAGGAAATGATAAAAGCAATTAGCTCCCTAAATCCTTCTCTTATCTGTAATTGGGTGTGACTTTTTTTTGTTTGTTTGTGAAAAACACTGAACAAAAATAGTGTCATCTGTATGGCCAGGAAAATAGACCCCGATGACAGCCAGCTTATCTTCCACAGCTGACTGAACAAACCAACAACTAAAGGGTTGGAACACTTTCAGGAACACTTCCAACCAAGAGCCGAGGTGACAGACAGACCCGTGGAGTTTTTATGCAGCTCCACACTTTCCATTAGAAATGAGAAGACTCCTGTTACTTTCCCTTCCTGCATAATGTCACATTGCCAGAAATATCCCAAGTGCAATGGGGCTACAGGCAGGAGGGCAGAGCAAAGCATGTGCCTTAGCACACATTTCCACCAGTTTCAAGGAAATTTTTAAAAAGTAAAGAACATGAACCAGACAGACTGTAACTGCAGAAAGTTCCCACTCTGTTTCTTTCCCACCCTCACCCTTCCCTTTGGACAAGCACATGATTTCTAGCAGGTGTGAAAGAGCCAGGAGACAAACAAAAGAGATAAAAGACAGAAAAACTCCGAAGAGCACTCAGGAGGCCACAACACAAGCACAGCACACACCAGCTCCTAGCAGGCAGAGGCACTCTACCATTATCTAGTTCACAGATGGACCACCCAGAAAATCTGGGAGCAATTAGGAATGAGAACAAACAAATGTATGGAAAGAAGGGGGGAGGGAAAAGGGGAAGGAGAGCCAGAAGGGATTCCTTACATCATCTCCATGCAAGCGTTTCGGGAATGAAGTGAAGCTATATGGAGGAGGAATGCAGATGAAAGAGTTTGCAGTGAGAATGCAATAAAGTAAAAGGCTACGAAAACATGCAGCGTATGAATGAATTACAACATGGTCATTAAATTTACAAAAAGTCAGGACAGTGTGTAAACAGAGAAGAAACCCATCAAGTTCTTGGAGACACAGACACACATATATAAACAGATCAAATGCTAAGTGTCTCTCTCGCTGTTAACAGCATATCAACCCGCCTTGCAACCCAGGGATCTATCAGGCAGAAAGCTGACTCACTCTCCCCCTTCAGCTGTCAGTATCTGGCATTAAACACTGGCAGGAAAAACACAAATGCTACAAACCAACACCAATGCAAACTCACATTCTATGCACGGATAGCAACCATAGCAACACCCAAGGGGCTCATACTACCAGAGCCGTGCGCCTGGGAACAGCCAAGTTTGTGCTGGTCTTGTTTCCACTTACCTGGCTGGCACCTAATCTCACAATCAGTCAGCACCTCCCAACACCAAGTTATACCTTTCTTGCTTGGGAGGCTGATCTGATCATGGCAACCCAAGTGCTTTGGCCCAACCAATTGCAAAGTGAATGCTTAGCCCTCTAAAAACAAGGCCCATTATTTAGTTATATGCCTGATTTAAAGCATGTTTGTTAGTTTTAATTGTGACATAGAAGGCTGCCTTTGTTGACCAGTCCTGCAAAGTTTGCTTTCTCTTTTCAAATCATTTGATGTGCAGTTTGTGACTTTTGCTAGTGAGCACAACTTATAAACTGTGTTCTGTGGGATCTAAAAGTCACAGCAGAAAAATTACTCTAAATAAAAACTGAAGATACCAAGTGTTTTGAAGTGATCTTAATCAATAACACTGTGTTTACTTTATCTTGGCCTCTGAGAAGCGAACTCTGGTCATTAAGGACATCTTATAAACACACTAAAGTTCACACAAGCATTTTTTAAAGCTTTTCAGTTTACCATAATCTCAGTAAACTCACTCCCTGATAATTTTCTCTAAAAACAGTCCTTATTAACTCACAAGTTCAGTTGAAAACAAAATCTACTATCTGCTCGTCTTAGCAGCAGCTACAATATGGCAATTAGTTTACCTCAGAATAGACATCAAAGGCTCAAAGGATGACCCTGCCCCAGAAGAACAGAATCTTTTAAAAGCCCCATTCCACTCAGTTTGCTGGTTTATAAGGTTTGCTAAAATCCAGTTTAATGATCATGCAGTTTCTTAGCAAGTCATGTGGTGCCATATTGTGTAAGGAACATAAGAGTTAGTTCTAAAACCTTTTTGAACTTCGAGAGCTTTTCCGACCAGCTGATGCAGAACCCCATTCTGAGATGGTAAATGAAACTGTTGGATGTAAAAGCCTGACCATGATTTTCTTTAGCTTCTTTCAGGAAAGACAAAAGTTCCCACACAACACATACTCTCCCCATACAACGGAAGATTCAATAATAGCAATATATTCAAGTCCATATGGTGCAGTTATAAGGGAGAGGCAAAACAAGAAACTGAGAATCCTGAAAGCAACAGGCCTGTAAGCTGTAGTGAAAAAAGCAAGAGCATGAAAAAAAACATTAAGGTGAAACTGGATGAAGTAGTAGGGCACACAGGATTAGACAGTTCTCCTTTTAGCTACAGTCTTTATATCCTGAGCTGCTGACAGTTCCCTCCCCTAACACGGTTATCATACAATTTCTTTTTTTTTTTGGATGACATATAACAAAGTGCTTTCAAAACCAGTCTGGTCCAGTAGCCAGGTAATAGCACTATATGTTACCAGGCAGGGTAAGCAGCAGTTTCTAATACAGCCTCACAGCAATAATGCAGAAGACATGAAAATGGAAGGGCTGGTTTCAGTGTGGGGGGGAACAAACATATATGAAAGGGAAAAACAATATATTAATAATACAGGAGAGAAGTCTTCTTACCCTGTCTAGAATCAGATTTCAGTGGTAAGCGACAAATAGGGAGGGGAAAGGACGAGAAGGACAGAATGTTGCTTTAAACATTTTAGCACAGACTTGCCCCACCTCTTTCCATTACTATCACGAAGCATGGCTTTTCCCAGCTCTCTTGTCTTCGTCTCCAACTCCTGAACTTGTTCCAGCAAAGTTTTATGGTAGGTATGCTTAGCCCTGTAACACAAGGAAAAGACAAAAACAAAACAAAAATGCCACATGAACATCTGTTTTGCTGCAAATCCCCAAGTTTACCTATCAGGGGAGAGGCACACGGCCTTCCCTTGAAGGATTTGGAAAAGAAGGTACACTATTTCCATGTTAGTTCAGGTTCACGATACCTGGGAAAAAATACATAGAAAATGAGAAAACAGGAGGAGTTCAAATTCGACAGAGATGCTTCAACAGAACACTCAAAACCTAACTAAGCAGCCAAGCTATCTGACACCGCTGCCCTGGGACTGCTCAGGACCTGGGCATTCAGACAAAGGGCTGGGATTCATTGCATATTCATGGCAGTAAAACAAGATTCCACTTTGTCGTGTGGCACTGCTCTGAAAACCCGAGGAGAGTCTCAGATAGTAATTGCCATTCAAACCCCTTGCTTTTTGTTTGTCGTTCTGACATGACTGGAAAGGAACTTCTCAGGGAACTTCCAAACTGACAATAACAAAACTGGCTGGGTCCTACTTCTTCAGCTTGAGGACTGAAAGAGCAACCTATGTACCACACCTGTAACCAAAATTTAGAGTACAATACCTCCCTTAAAGAGACTTGACCTTTTTACCCCCAGTTTTACCTACTGTTCCACTGCTATTATACCTACATTACACTGATCTAGGGGAGAGAATCTAGTCCCCTTCACCTTGACATGTACAAAGCAAGAATAAAAAAAGCAGGGATCTTTCTTCAATGGGCAGTTTTTGATCAGCTTTCTCTTTTGTGTCACTTAAAGGAGGATGAATGTTCCATGAGAATATAATGATTTGCAAGTGACTGCAAAAGAAGACAAGATGGAACCAAGTTGGCTGAGACATTACTTGCTTCATAGCAATAAAATAATATTCTTCAAGTCTAGAGATGGCAAAAACTTCTTTACAAGTTTTATAAAAATCTTACATGCAGACACTAAAATCTCTAACCAATGATATAAAACAACGCCAAACTCCCTTTAGGAGACAAAGAATAACTGGTGTATATGTAATTAAAATATAATGAAGATGTATTTATTTTTAAAAGGTATGATACTTATAGCTCCTTCAGTGGGGAATAAGAAACAAAGACCACAAAATCTTTGCTGATACTACTGAGGATGACACTGCCTTGATATTAATACTAGGATATCCAAGTCCTCTGGTGTTGCTGAATTAGGCAAATGCCTAAATATGAGAAGCTAAATGAAAACTATTTTCAAAACATATCTGCATTTAAGAGAAAAAAACCCAGAACAACAAAAGATGAAGCATAGCAAAATCTGGAAGTAAAAATTATCAAGAAGAACTTAGAAGAACATGTTGTTAGACCAACAGAGGTGTGTGATTTGCAACATCAACATATTGTGTAGAGAGAAATGAGTAGTGAGGATATTTTTAAAATGCATAATGCTTCAACAATGTGAGATTACCAACAGCTGCACAGAAATTAATTAGATTCAAGTTGCTATAACTAGTTAGGCTAATGATTAGACTGGTCTCCTCTTTGAGGAAGGGAAAATATAGCTATTAAAATGAGAACGCTTTGAGGCTATTAATTCTTATAATCTTTCTGGTTGACTTCACCATCGCAGTCTTTAATTTAAATAAATACATTGAAATTTTGACCTTGAACTCCTCTCTTACCTTTTAAAGAGGCCATACCTACTATTGAAAACTTGAAGACTGAGCGTGTTTGGAATTTTTCAAATTGTTTATAACCAGTTTTCCCCATAGACAAGAACAAATATGCACAAGTTATTCAATCTCTCCCAAGGCTCCAGGTGTATCTTACCATACACCGTAAAAGACGATGTTCACCCTTAGGGCAAATATTGAATCAAAACTTAACAGGTCTTGAGCAACAAGTCCAATTTGTGCAGCATAGTTTAAGGAGGCTGAAATGGCACAGTATGGAAAAAATACTGTTGGTCTGAAGTTGGGGACACTGAAGTGTTTTGTGAGTAGTGAGAAACAATGAAACACAAGGGCTCTGTTGGGGCTAGGTATCCATAAAGCAACAATAAACCCGCTGGTAATTCTTATGCATTGAGTCACTCCTTCACTTGGAAGCAAGAGCATCCACGGAAGGGTCAGTAATCAGGTACTTATAAATAAATATAAAAACATAAAAAGGGCCTGAGCTAACCTATCCACATGATGTTCCCTCAAAAACAAATACTAAAATATGGTACTACAATTGCCTCAGAGTCTGGGCTTGCTCCTATCAAAGTCAACTGCAAATATTCCATGGACTGCTGGCAACAGGACTTGAAACTTTATGATGTTTTCACTACAGCACATTATAAACTTCTGATACACAGAAACACGGGTAGGAGTCTTAGCATTTAGCTCAGTACTTTACAAGTGGCCATGGATGCACAATCTCAATAAAGGATGAGATCTTCTGTTCGATTTTACTGTTCAGCTGAATTTTGATGCACTACATAAAGACAAACACACCTTCCCCTCACACATTGGGATATTAAGATCAGAGACCATAAGAACAAGCAAAAGGTCATCTGTGTATTTTGTATGGCCCTTCCCCTTCCAAGCCAGGGAAGTGCATCACTTTGCTGCCCTAGGAGGATATTTAGGGGGGTCAGGAGGCCAGAATCTGTCAGGGAAAAGCATGGTAACATTCATAAACATTTCTCAAACATGACACCACTTCTATTGTGGCCCATTATCCTCACTGCCACCTTACGAGTCTTGCACTCCAGGGAGTGCAGGTATGTGCAAGGATGGGAAGAGCTCCTTGTACCTTCTCTTACTTACACAGCAGAGCTGGCAAATGTAAAATGCTTCTTCCCCGACATTAAAAAAAAAAAAAAAAAAAGAGTACATGAAAATTTTGGTAATGACTGGAAGGCTCAGGAAATTTTTCACTGTAATGTAAGCACTGAGATACCAATTATGACTAAATTCTTGCCCTCTTGCCTGATTTTGCTGAAATCCACTCTGCATTTTTATGATTCCCACGTAACTCTGTGGCTCAGCTATTTCAAGACTTCCTAGCGCCGGTGACACGTATTCAAGTCGCAAGTGCCAACTGTGAGGAAGCACTCACCTTATAAAGCTCTGTTCATTCAGATGGTTGCACAGCTAGAACTTTTACAAGGTAAACCAAGGTACTGAATTCAGGGTAGTGGACCAAAGTTAATAATGTGGTATTTCAACCAAGTATTAATAATAAGCTTCCCTCTCTTTAAAAAGAGTTTTCCACATTTCCTCGATTCATTTAAAAAGAAAAAAAAAAGGTAAAAATAACAGCCTGGAGCTGCAGAGAACATGGGAGTTAAGTGATATGTTGACAATTGTAGCCTGTATAACAAAGGGAACATGTAAAACTCATTCTTGCTTCCAGCATTAGAAGTTTTGAGAGTGGACACAGCACAGCAGTTTAAAAACAGAAGATTTGTATAGGTCTTTCAATCAACCTTTTTCCAGACAAAAATTCTGTAACATGCTTATGGTTTTCTGGCAGTATTTTGCACTGCAATTAGGCATGTACCTTTTGGGTCACATGGATGCTCCTTCTGAAGACATACGCTTCATATCCAAAAGAAACTGAAAGGGATAAATTCCATGATCACGAGAAATCAGAGTTGCTATAATTTTATGGCCAAAACCATATACTGCTGAATTACAGAGAGCGATGTGGTGTAACCACTGCTGTGGAAATGTGCCAGCTGACTTCCAGAGGCCTTAGGCTCCAGTTTTAAATGGCAAGCCTCTTGGAAAGGAAACAGACCTTTACTCCTTCCATATGGCAGTGCTGATAGCTGTGTCATTTCATTTATCCTAGTTAAAATGTTAATGGTGTTAATTTTTCAGTGAGGGGTTAGGGGGGGAAAAAAAAAAAAGTCCTGCTCAGAGAACAGATTTTTTGCTTAATGTTGATAGGAGCCTCCTGTTTAAAATCTGTTGGGAAAATATCTAGCATATCAATCATACACGTTTGTCTTGAGAGCTTCACAATCTCTGTACATTCTTGGTCTGAACCACTGAAAGGATTATGTTGCTGAGATTTCTCCAAGAAATATTAAAGAACAGGCTGAGTCAGTAACAGAGTTTAAAATGACTAATAGCTGAGGATGAGCCTGCCATGGCCTGGCCTGTTTTACAATTCATGAGTCATTTTTGCCAAAAACTGATAAGAACAGAGGACAACTTCAGGACACTCAACTATCACGAAAACATTTAAAAAACTAAAGTGTAACCTTGGACATCTTTACATAAATTTGATCCCTGATGCTGCAAACAGTTCATCTCCTATTTAGATTTAATCACAAAAGTTCCACTGACTTCTAAGAAGATAATTTTAAATAATGCCTGACACAGGAGCAAGGCTAAATGAATATTTAATTTTTTTTTTTCCCCCCCAGAGCTTTAAGGAGCTGGTCACAGACACAGCTAAGTGTGTAAATTTAAACATTTTGGCTTCACTTTTAGAATTTTAAAATAATTTTCAATTGAAGAAGTTTAGTGAGTGCAACAAAAAGCCCTGTGATATGCTGGACTATTAAATCATAGTATTACCCTGGACAGAAATATTACAGTATGATACCTAGTTTTAATTTTAGCAGTAGTTTGTGAAAATTAAGCTGAGGGAGACAATAGGAAAGTGTTTAATAAGTACGTACTGATCGGTAGAATTTGCCTATTACAATTTAATTTAGCTGTGCTATCAACACCATATGAATAAAACCCACATTTTTCAGATCTATCCATATGACTTGATATCATAATGATGGTTGAAATGTGCCTGTGTTTGGGAAACTTTCTGCTTTTTGTCAGTATTTTCTGCAGATTGGTGGACTTTGTAGTGTTAGGTTTACAAATGGATTTGATGCTATTAAAGGTCCTTTCCAACCTAAATGGTTCTGTAATTCTAACAATCTTCTTTGACTGACCAACAGTTCATTCCTGGAGCTAAGTGTTATGTGTTATGACGTTTCTACTTTGGGCCTTTGTGAAAAGTGACAAGCTAACATGTATTTCTTCTTCACTCCAGTTAGGATCTGACTTTTGCCCAAGAATGTCCTGGGTCCTCCTTGCACAAGGTTATTACATATCCATGCAACCAAACCTTCTTAGTTGTTTTCCAAAGGAAAGGATGAAAGGTTTCGTGCTTAAGACACTTCAAAGCAAGCTGAACAAAACACCAGAAATTCTAAATGAGAATGATACTTCTGCATTTTAAATTGCAAAGGTAGAGAAGGTAAGTTGCTTCCCTTTAAATCAAAGTTCTTGAAATTGCTTGCTTCTTGTAATGCTTTGAAACCACAGAGTTTTGAGAGAAGGTGATTAGACTGGCCTGCATTTCACAAGTTTGTTCCTCCTTTCTGGTCAGGGAAAGAATCATTATGACCTCAAATATAAAGTGTAGAGTATTGCTGTTCTCTCAGTTAAGTTTTGGAAGATCTGCTGCTGAAGGAGAACCTAAAAAGCAGCTGATGAATAACTTACCGAGACAGCTTACTGAGAATGGATTAGAGTGCCACATTTTCACTTTGTACCTAAGCTTAGACAGATTGAACAAATTATTTGCTCCTTTTTAGGAACAGAAAATCTCTGATGTCCAGTTTAAACTTGCTTTTAAGTAAAGGATAGGCAATACAGATAATCATAAGGTGACACACCTTCATTACTCAGACAAGGCTTCCTCCTTCAGATTCAGGACTAACTATTCATTCTCTCACACTGCTGGTTGCATCGGCAGGTGAGAAATCACACCCACTTCACCTCTTTTCCCTTCCAAAGGAGTACCATTTCGCATTCATTGAAAGGCTTCAGAGTTCTTTACAGAACAATACTGAACTGGACAACACGTGAACACAGAATCATTCATAAAACACCAAGAGGACTGGTCTGGTACTTACGCTGTCCACGCCACGTCTTTAACAAGGCACGCAGTGGGCACGAGAAACAAGCCAAACCAGAAGTATCCACATCTTAACACCATTCCAGCCTGTGAAGAAAACAAATAAATCATAAGTATTTTCAAGCCATTACACATTAAGTGGTTGTTTACGTGCAAAAAGGTAGAGTGATGGCATCAGACAGGTACTGCATCCTTGACCTGGGTGATGTTGAAATCTGGTGGTGGTGGGAAGCCTCACCAACTCTTAACAGAAGATAGTGCTTCAATTAACAAACAGCAATGGTATTTTTCATTGCAATGATTCCTTATGACCTCAAATTCCTCAGAAATTTTTGAAAAAAATTATATAATTTTCAAAAGCATTTTGACCAAATCCTTCAATTATATTAAGTTGTGGATCCAGATACATTTTAAGTCATGGAGAAGAGCACCATAAGTATATTTAACTTGCCCTTCTGACTATCTTTTGTGCCTTTTGCCTCCTGTTTCCATCCACTGTCCTAGATCTCTGAACAGAATCAAACTGACATGAAAAAAAACACATTTCTCACTAAAACATTTCAGTCATATTCCACTTAAATACAGCACTTCCTGTTCAAACTATTGCTGCCTTAAACCCAGGGCAGGAAAGATTCACTCCTGTCCTGCAAATGGCTTTTTTTACAAACAAAGAGCTCGAAGTTTACCTTTGCATTTTTCTCATTGTCACAATGCTTGAAGAAAAAGCCTGGTGGGATTTGAGAGGAAGATATCTAGAAACCCTGCACAACCCAGCATACACACACAGTTAGGGAACAAAGTTCAAAAACACCACTATTTACAGAAATGCTACTTGAGATCATTAGAATCTGTTGCAGATAAATTAATGGTGATTAAGGCCCAGGTTTGCTAAATGGAAGACTTGAGACAAACATCATCACCTCTTGCATGCAACTCACACACTTCCCATCAGAATCATTAAGCTCTCCACCACATTAGAGACAGAAAGGATTTTTTTTTTTGGTGCGTGGACTTGTGTACAGCACACAACTGAAACAGAGGCTGAAGGGTTTCAACAGGATTTCCAGTATCTAGACAGATTTTGCTCTCTTGCCAGTTATGGACACTGCCATATCTCTTTCCCAAAACATTTACTTCCGAATATTTTGTATGCTCCATACACGTATCTAATGACATTCACGTGCAACGCTGCCAAAGGCAGGGAGGCCCATACCCACAGACACCAAACTATAGCAGCTGCCCCATCGGTGTAACGCAGGCTTGGCTGGCTCAGCTTTGCCTCACTACTGCAGCACACAAGCACTGCAATGCTGGAGTGCCAAGGCATTGCACAGATAAACACAAAGCTGAGATGCAGAACATGGAACTACACAAAACATCTACTAGCCTTTGAAATACATTGTGAGAAGACAAAATTTGTAATTATATCCTTAAACGTGACTGATCACAACAGAAGACTTCTACCATTCAATACAATAAAGCTTTTAAACTGAGAAAAGCCATCACAGTGCCTTGACGGGATGTTCATCAATAGCATCTAGCATGTTCTCCTGGTGTTGATCTCTGTTTAAAGTTGTTCACCTAACAACTCAGCCACATTTAGCAGCAACTTCCCTGTTATCCAGGAGGAAGAAGGTAGTGACCTGCTGAGCCACTTGGATCCTCACAAGTCTATGGGACCAGATAGGATCCATCCTAGGGTGATGAGGAACTGGTGGACAGGCTGGATAAATGGGCTGAATCCAAAGGTATGATGTTTTAACAAGAACAAGTGCTGGGTCCTGCTCTTTGGCCACAACAACCCCCTGCAGCGCTACAGGCTGGGCACAGAGTGGCTGGAGAGCAGCCAGGCAGAAAGGGACCTGGGGGTGCCGACTGACAGGAAGTTGAACATGAGCCAGCAGTGTGCCCAGGTGGCCAAGAAGGCCAATGGCATCCTGGCCTGCATCAAGAACAGTGTGGCCAGCAGGAGCAGGGAAGTGATCCCTCCCCTGTACTCAGCACTGTTGAGGCCACACCTGGAGTATTGTGTCCAACCTCAGTTCAGGAAAGACACTGAGGTGCTGGAGAGTGTCCAAACAAGGGCAATGAGGCTGGTGAAGGGAGTGGAGCATAGGCTCTATGAGGAGTAGCTGAGGGAGCTGGGGTTGTTTAGGCTGGAGAAGAAGAGGCTCAGGGGTGACCTCATCACTCTCTACAACTCACCGAAAGGAGGTTGTAGCCAGGTGGGGGTTGGTCTCTTCTCCCAAGCAACCAGCAGTAGGACAAGAGGACACAGTCTTGAGCTGTGCCAGGGAAGGTTTAAGTCAGACATTAGAAAGAAATTCTTTATAGAGAGAGTGATCAGACATTGGAATGGGATGCCTTGGGAGGTGGTAGAGTCACTGTTCCTGGAGGTATTTAAGAAGAGACTGGATGTGGCACTTAGTGCCACGCTCTAGTTGACACAGTGGTGTTGGGCGGTGGGTTGGACTTGATCTCACAGGTCTTTTTCAACCTGGTTGATTCTGTGGTACTGTAACTTGCCCTTGGACTGCCCAGTAGTGAGTACTTCCGAAAGCATTTTTCATTTTTAAATGTTAAATCCTCCATGCCATTGCTGGACTGACAGACCAGCGCTAAATCTTGTACTGAAGCCATTGCTGGACTGACAGACCAGTGGTAAATCTTGTACTGAAACCAAGAGCAAGCTAGACAGTGCTAAAACATTTATGGACACTTTGCCACCCACACAGACAGTAAGCAAACACATTCCAGTCCCAGAATCAGCTTTCAGTTATTTGGGAGCCCTCATGCCTGCATTCACATGTGAATGCCAGAAGCATACAGGCAGTTTTGATCATTGTTTATTTAAAGAAAAGGATGTGCAAGAATAAGAGAGAATTCATAACTTCACTGTTAGCCAAAAAGCTGAATTGTAATAACAGTGCCAAAACTTAATGAGATTTATCCTCATGCTTTGCTCTTCTTTGGCTGTGACCCTGCAAGTGCTAGCAGTCACAGAACCACATCAGCATTATTTCCACTGACCATCCTTACGTTGCCTTTGCTAAGAAAGGCTAAAAAAGTGCCATAGTATTCTATATGCATTTTCTGCTATTTTTGCTTGAAATATTTTCCGTTCCACTTCTTGCTTTTCTAGCTGAAAGCAACTTGACACACTTTCAAAGTGCAGAACAATCTGAGTATGTGTTCAATAGAAGTTTAAATGTATTATTGCTGTTATAAATGTTGACATCTCAACCAATGGCTATGAATTTGGACATGTCTCACATTAAAAAAAATTAAATAAATAAATCAAAGCCAAATACTTTTTGCCTGCAATTATGTATTTTACTCAAGTATTGTTCTTCCAAAAAATTCACCATAACAGTGAAACTATTCATCTCATCTGAACCCTGTCAAACACACATTTTACTACTGGCAAGCCTTTTTCCACACAATCCTCACGAAAATTTTACTCCACTTCTGAGCTACTCTGGAAGTTTCTTTCTCGCTCATCTCTAGTTTCCCCTTGGAGTTATGTGACTCCTATGCTCCTTGACAGTGAACTGGTTTGTCCTGCATGCACAGCTCTGCCTCTGAACACAGTCTCCTCTCTGGCAGGATCACACCATCTGCTCACAGATGTAGGATAGAGAGCTGGGCTACGAACAGAAGCTACAATAAGAACACCTATATATCCAAACAAAGCTTTTCTCAGGCTTCCCAACTGCTGCTGTGCTCCATTCCAGTCACTCAGCTATTCCCAACAGCAGTGAAGACAGTACTGCAATACATCTTCAGTGAAACAGGGCATTTCTATACCCAATCCCAGTGAATAAAACCATTCAGCTATCAATTATACACCCCCACACAAGAAAAGCAGAGCGACCAAACAAGAATCATCACTTTTTTTTTTTTTTTTTTTTTTTTTAAAGATCACAGGAAGCAGGAGTAGAAATAGGTTGTTGTTTAAAAAAATTCAGAATTTTGACCAGCTCTGTCATCACACAGGCAACTAAGTAATTTTTATTCCGTCTACTGATGTAAACATTAGAGACTATCCCATCCAAATCTAACTACCAGAGATCATTAATCACAAGGCACCCCCCAAAAACACTTGAGACTAATGCAAGTTCTCCTACTGAGGACATTGCAATTTAAACTGCTGCCACCAGTAGACTGCTGTTCAAGCACTGATTAATCTGCCACAGACAAAGCACTCATTTTAGAGAATTGATAACATTTGTTAAAAAGAAAGAATGGGAACAAGAAAAGAAAGGAAAAAAACCTTAGCTCCAGTTATTTCACAACTAAGGAGGAAATAATTTAGGTCCCAATACCTTTAACCTCCTGTAAAAAACTTTTTTAAGGGTGAGTAGTTTCTTTTTCTTCTTTTAAACACAGAAAAAAAAAGTGATAATACTGGCCACTCAGAATGACCAGGAAGATCTCCTTTGTACTATTATTTTACAAAGCCTAGGTTAAGGTGTGCTTTTTTGTTTGTTGGGGTTTTTTTGGAGTTTCTGTTTGCTTATTTTAACTCAAAGATATGCTATACACAAGCATATCAAATAGAGAATAGGGGTATTTTAAACAAATTTTGAATTACAATATGGAATACATTTTGAACTCTTTTCTCTCTTGCACTATTCCTCAGTATGCAAATAAGCATCATTCCTAGTGGTACTATTCCACCAATAGGTGGTGCCACTATTTTCAGCAACTTCCAAGAAGAACAAGGCCAAAAGTGTGCAGGGGTGGGAAGTCAGTAAGAAGACTGTTTTGGTATTCTTTTCACAGCATGGTTAGACAACTGGGAACCAGTAAATGATTCAAACAAGCCAAGCAAGGATCTCAATCATCTTGTGTCATTCTAGAAAAGTGAGACAAAATTTAAATTTTTTATTTTGAATAACGAAAGTTCTTTATTACTTCATTTCCTCATATATCCATGCATCTTAACTCTGACAAAAAATGAACAGCAAAAGCATAGGATTATGATGGAAACAGCTGGGTTCATGTTTACAGCATGATAAAAAGTATATTGGAAGTGCACCTGGAGCCTGATCATAGCTCTCTCCATAAGACATGGGTAAGAATCC